CCAATCCTGGCAGAACAAAAACATAGCTGTAGAGCTCCTTTCACATAGATGGGCAGGAGGCAATAAAAGCAGGTGGTTTATCTGTGTTTTTACCACCAAATTACCCACCTATAAGCAGACATGGTGCTACCTGGATGAGTACACATTGCCATGGCTGTGGTGCTTTGCAATTGCAATGCTACATGGAATTTGATAGGAAACTCCCATGTAAGTGAATAGGGTTGCACTGCAACATTGGGTTTGCATTTATGGATTTCTGCATTTATTGCAAGTATGGTCCTGCTGTTCAGCAATTAAAAAAAAGAAACAGACTTTAGAAGGTGGCAGCATCTTCTGAATGTCTGCAAACCTTCTTTCAACATCCTCTGAAAAGTGATCCACTGCAAAATGTGACAGCAGTCTAAGCAGGGGAGGAACTACCAGGGTCGCAAAAGTCGCACTTGCGACCAAGCCCTGGAGTTCTGTCACTGTGTGGGGGTCCAGGAGCCCAGATTATGTCTCCCCAATGCCGCGGCATTGCTGACTGCATGGCTGTTAGGTGAGAATTTCTCTTTCAAAGGCAGCCCAGAGCTAGCGCAGACAGTTCCCCCTCTTCCCTCCTACCCCCCCCGCACGGATGGGAGAGCACTGAGAGCTGACTCTACTCCTCCTTGTCCCTGGCAGTGTCTCAGAGAAGGAGCTATGTGGGTGGGGCAGACACAAAAGGAGGGAGCTGGAGGAGGAGAAGCATCCTGTGTGTAAAGTCCCTTATGGACTCTGATGGTGGAGGAATCTGCAGGCTCTGATGGTGGGGGGCTCTGCAGACTCTAATGGTGGGGGGCTATGCATGCTCTGATGGTGGGGAGCTCTGCGGACTCTGATGGTGGGGGGCTCTGCAAATTCTGATGGTGGAGGGCTCTGTGGACTTTGATGGTGGGGGCTGTATGGACTCTGATAGTGGGGGGCTCTGCAGACTCTGATGGTGGGGGGCTCTGTGGAATCTGATGTTGGGGGCTCTGTGGACTCTGATGTTGGGGGGCTCTGCAGAATCTGATGTTGGGGGGTTCTGCGGACTGTGATTGTGGGGTGCTCTGCGGACTCTGATGGTGGGGGGCTCTGCAGACTGTGATGTAAGGGGTTATTTAGGAACATTGATTAAAGGGGAATGCTGGGAACTTTGATTTAAGTGGGGGCTCTGGTTACTAGAGAACCCCTTATATCAGAGTTCCCCTTACATCAGAGTCTGCAGCGTTTCTTCTTTCATCAGAGTTCTCTCCTTACATCAGAGTTCTCAGTGTTTCCCCTTAAATTAGAGAGTTCTCCCTATATATCAGAGTCTGCAGAGTCACCCCTTATAATGTAAAGGAACTCAGCGAGTTCAGATGTAAAGACGAACTCTGCAGATTCCGATGTAAATGGGAAACTGCAGTTTCAGATGTGAAGGGGAAACTGCGGATTTAGATGTGAAGGGGAAACTGCGTATTCAGATGTATAGGGGGAAACTCTGTGGACTCATATGTAAGAGGGGACTCTTGTGATTAAATCCACATGATTAGAAATGTTATTTATTCACAAAATATACTGTATGTATAGTGCATACTACAAACAACTTGCTGTGCAAAAGTGTTCGGGTTTGGCTTGAAGAAAAGGTGGCAACTCTACCCAGGTCGGCGTGATGGGGGTCTGCTGTAGAACATGTGGAATGGTCCTGCTGTGGGACCATAATAAAGGGATTGAAGTAAAGGGCTCAGAGGAAAGGGGGTGAGTCGGGGGGCCTTTCATGGTTTCTTGCACCAGGGCCCTAAAGGTTCTAGTTACGCTTCTGGCCTAAGGTTACATGCACGCCAGGCTTTTAGACCATATACGACAAATCCTGGTGCTTGCGTTCATCTGGCAGGCACAGGTGCAGCGTGTGGGTGGGTGCAGAGTGGTGCGGCAGCAGTAGCTACACAGAGTCCAGATACAAGAAACAGAACTTGTATTGAAGGCAAAATTCAACCATACCAACAGCTCAGCAGGAAGGCACCCCACTGGGAACTAGGGTTGCCTCCAGGGGTGGACTGACAGCTCATGGGGCCCCCGGGCAATAGGGAATCATGGGGCCCCAGTGTTCTTGCCCAAACTCAAAAAAGCCTATGAAAAAGGTACCAGGGGCATCTCATGGGGCCCCCTACTGACCCCGGGCCCTCGGGCAGTGCCCGAGTTTTCAAATGGTCAGTCCGCCCCCGGTTGCCACCTTATCCCTTTAAAATCAAACACATATTAATTACACAGGTTCTGAGGCTAATTGAATGCACATAAGGCACTAAATGAGTTTAATTACCACCTAATCAGCCACAGAAACTGTGTAATTAATATGTGTTCAGTTTTAAAGGGATGAGGTGGCAACTGTGCTGGGAACACTTACAGGTTTGAACAGAAACGTCTGTAGCACTACCCCTGTAAAAGTTACTGAAGATTTGGGATCCCCTATAGTCCTGCACAGCCAGGCAACACTCCTCTTCCACAGATTTGCATTCAGAGTCAATAAACAGTCCTTGAGCTTGGGGTTTTTTTTTTTTTGTTTTGTTTTATTAAGGGGTGTTAAACTTGGATGGGGTAAGGGGGGTATGAGATGCCAAATGGAACTGACAACTCCTTAGCAACTATGTACAAGTCTTTACACAGCAGAAACTCTTCTCAGAGAGCACTCCAGCCTCTCCTGGTGTACCACCCCAGACCTTAAATAATCCTCTTCTTATCCAGCTGCCTGAGGGAAACCCTGGGTAAGGGAATCCAGTGCCTTCCACCTTAGATGAAACAGTCCAGGGTAAGGAGCTAATCAGGTTTCCCACCAGAGTCCTTAGCTGTAGGACTACTCACTCAGTCTCAGTCCTGAGAGTAGATTTAGATAGGTGGCTAACTTCAGGCCTTCTGCTGAGTTGGCTCCTTTCCCTGCTCTACAGGTGGTCCTTGCTCTGGGGGCTGGTGAGGTTCACTGATCCTCCTTTCCAGCTCCCTGCCTGTTGGTAGGCTCCTTCCCACTGGACCCCCTCCCAGGCTCCTGCATCTCAGCTTCCTCACATCTTCCACCTAAACTCTCCTGCTGCTGAGCAGGCTCAACCACTTATAAGGTCTGTCCTGACCCCATGTCAAGTCTCATGCTTGGGGATTGGTCAGGATCCCTTAAGAGTGCAGGCCAGCCCCTCCTCACACTGCTTCTGGAATCTTCTCCAATATTCTAGAGCAGGGGGGTTTCAAGGAACTGATCAGCAGAGCTTCTCAGTCTTGACCCAAATTTGGCCCAGGCTGCTACTTAGCCCATCCAACTAAAAATAATCAGCTTCCCCTAGCTAACTAGGAAGGTGCTACACATGGAACAGCAGGTTGCAGATGTGCTGACAGCGTCTGTCTGAGAGGGCGGAATATGTCTTGGCTGGTCTGTGCTCAAATGGGAGGATTTTAAGAAGGATAGTGTGTCCCTAGCCTGTCCCTAATCATCTGGAACCTTTCCCTACCACTATTCACTTTCCCTGTCAGACAGGTGACCTAACCCTACGCTGTCCACTGTCAAAATGCACGCCAAGCCCAGGAGCCATAGTCTGAACTCTACCTGACCCAAGATGGCCGCCAGAGTCACAAGGGATGGCAGCATCCAACCGGATTGCTTCCCCAGTGACTCCGAACATTTTAGCGGATTATGTTCCTCTCCTGTCTAGCCCCTCTGCTGTAGCCTATCAAAAATGACAGGCTGAAATATGCAGCAGCTGGACACCGTGTCATTTTTAGGGCTGTAAGTTATAAGGGATACAAACTGTTTCTAAGATTTGGATTAATGATGTTTTTGTTGCATCCATTTAAAACTGTATGAAAAACCTGTATGGCAAAACTTGCAAAGTGTAAACCAGGGGCGGACTGACCATTTGGAAACTCGGGCACTGCCCGAGGGCCCGGGGTCAGTAGGGGGCCCCATGAGATGCCCCTGGTACTTTTTTCATAGGCTTTTTTGAGTTTGGGCAAGGACACAGGGGCCCCATGATCCCCTATTGCCCGGGGGCCCCATGAGTTGTCAGTCCGCCCCTGGTGTAAACTAACCTGGGACATGTAACAATGCAAAAACATTCTCTTTGGAAGAAGCTCAGTCCTCTTTAAGGGTACAATAGTATACTTGATACCTACATTCAAGGCAGCCAAGGATCTCAGTGTGTACAATCACTAAGTATTATTGAAAATCTCTGTGTGACCCGGCCAATCTAAGAGGCGAGGAAGATGAAAACCTTGTGCATTCTGCTTTAGTCCAACAAATTAGTTGCTTGCGAATCCACAGTCAGAATGCTTATAGGGTGGGCATGTATCCTATTGGGGTGAAATGAATGTTTAGACATAGAGCAGGGGCTGGCAACCTTAAAGAGCTGGAGATCTACCTGAACAACATGGGAGAAGCCAAAGATCACCGGGCACAATTTCAGCCAGTGTCACCTCCTCACACCTCATTTAACCCCTAGCCTACAGGCACACTTATACCCCCTTCCTGCCCAGGCCAATTTCCAGCTTTCAGCGCTGTCGCACTTTGAATGACAATTGCGCGGTTATGCAACACTGTACCCATATGAAATTTTGTATCATTTTTTTGTGACAGATAGAGCTTTATTTTGGTGGTATTTAATCACCTCCGGGTATTTTATTTTTTCTTAAACAAACCAAAAACCACTGAAAATTTTGAAAAAAAAAATGTTTTTTCTTAGTTTTTGTTATAAAATTTTGTAAATAAGTGATTTTTCTCCTTCACCGATGTGCGAAAATGTGGCTGCACTGATGGGCACTGATAGGCTGCACTGATGGACACTGATTTAGGTGGCACCTGATGAGGAGGCACTGGTAGGTGGCACTGATGGGCATTGACAGGCATCACTGATGGGCACTGAAAGGCAGCACTGATACATGGCACTGATAGGCAGCACTGATAGGCAGCACTGATAGGCGGCACTGAATGGCACTAATAGGCGGCACTGACTGGCACTGTTAGGCGGCACTGACAGGCACTGATAGGCGGCACTGATGCGCACTGATAGGCAGCACGGACTGGCACTGATAGGCGGCACTGACTGGCACTGATAGGTGGCACTGATTGGTATTGATAGGTAGCATTTACTGGCACTGATGGGTGACACTTAAAGGCAGCTCAGACGGGCACTGATATGTGGCATTGATGTGCACTGGTAGGCACTGATATGTGGCACTGATGGGCAATGGCACGAGGCACTGATGAGCACTGACACAAGGCACTGATGGACACTGACAGGTGGCACTGCTGGGGCTACACTGATCATCAGTGCCCTGATGATCAGTGTACATGTCCCCTCCGTGGAAAGCCGATTACCGGCTCTCCTCTCCTCTCGAGCTGTGACAGCTCGAGAGGAGAGAAATACCGATAACCGGCATTTCCCTGTTTACATGTGATCAGCTGTGATTGGACACAGCTGATCACATGACCGAGCCGACATCTTGGGCTCTTTCCGTGATTGGTGATCCGCTGTGTCCGAGGGACACAGTGCACCGCCGCTCGCGCCGCGCTGCGCGCTCCCTGAGCTGCGCATGCGCAGTGAGAATGGGAGGATGTCATATGACGTCCTCCCAGAAAAAGAGAACCACCTTGTGCCCGTCATATTACTATATGGCGGGCAGAAGGTGGTTAAACCTCTAACTGCCGTACTACCGTGTTGTGCGACAATCATGGGTTTAAATCAGGTAGTGAGGATGCAACATATTGCTTCCTCATCACTTGTCAAATACCCTCAGATCACTTTTCAGAGGAACAGCAGTGTCTGCTGCATTTGCGAATGAGCCCTTTGTTGCGTTTGCAGTTGAGTCACAGTTTTACCGCCTCCAATCCCTACCCCCTTTAGCTGCTGAGGCAGCAGCCAAAGGTGTACATATTAATTATTTTACTAATTAAACTCCCTGTTACCTTTGGTGGGTGCTACTGCCTGCCAGTCACAACCCATTCAAGTAAATGGGGCCACTCAGCAAGCGCCCCTGCAACTGCATGCTTTTTCGAGGGCCAAGGAATTAAAGCAGGTGGTGAGAAAGCAACACAATGCTGCCTGCTTTAACCCCTTGTTTGCTTCGCTGCACAAGGTTGCAAGGCTCTTGCAGAGTGGCCTCATTCACTTGAATGGGTTATGCTTGACAGGTGCTACACCCACCAACCATGACAGGGTGTATAACTCCTGCTGCGGCATGTGTACACCCCTGGCTAATGTAGCTAAATTGGGTGTGGTTTGGGGCGGGGAGTGACAAAAACATGTCTTAACTATGGGGTTTTACCACCCTTAAACTGCAAACGTAAATGAACCCTTATTGTTTTGAGCCCCCATAAGGCTGATGTGCTGTGGTTTACCCCCATAAGGTTGAAGTACTGATGTACTGCGATTTACCTGCACCATAGGTGCAGCGCAGTGCATCTGCAACTTTCCTGAGTTAACTATGCTTTGTCATAGATTCTAGTATATCCTGCAAGTGCGGTGCATTTTCTGAAAGTCTATGGCTAAATGTAGCAAACCCGCAGGAAATCTGCAGGTACACTGCACTGCACCGCGGTGTGGGTAAACTGCAGTGCATCAGTGTGAAAGCAGCCCTATAAAGGCGTACCTCGGTTTACGTATTGCGAAAAATTCATAAACCAAACCGTGGTTTCCAATAGGAATGCATTGAAAACCAAATAATCCATTCCGGAGGTCAGAAAAAAGTAAAAAAAAAAAAAGTATTTTATCTGTTCAAAACTCTTTATAAAGTGCACTTTAAAGGCTTAAATACTGTAAAGGGACATGATTAAAAATGAATTTCGGAAATGCATTGAAAAACAATTAATCCGTTCCGGAGGTCAGAAAAAAGTAGTAAAAAACAGTTTTATCTGTTCAAAACTCTTTATAAAGTGCACTTTAAACGCATAAAGGGACATGATTAAAAAAAATTTGTAAATGCATTGAAAACCAATTAATCCGTTGCGGAGGTCAGAAAATAGTAAAAAAAAAGTCTTATCTGTTCAAAACTCTTTATAAAGTGCACTTTAACCTCCTTTCCCGAGTGTAGCTCGGGGTAAAGTTTCAGTACCAAGAGCGGTAACCCCGAGCTACACTCGGGCTTGCCATGCGGTGTTGCTCAGGGAGTCCCTGCAGCACTTACCTTGCACTTACCTTGTCTTTCGCTCCAGCGATGTGTCCCCTGCAGCGTCCCCGGCCATCTCCTCCGGCCGATGCCGGCATCGGGCTTCTGTGTTCCGGTCCATGTGACGTCGGGACGTACAGGCGCCGGAACCGGCAGAAAATTTGAAATTTTTAAAAAATTTCATTTTTGCTGTCATTGCTGTTTCAATGCATTTCACATATATTTTGTCCCTACTGCTTTGTCCTGTGCCCTGCCTGCATTTTGACTGTTCTTTCTGCCTGAAAAAGTCCATGGCGTCCAAAAAGCGGTTTTAGACCAGCTAGAGAACAGCGATAGTAAATCAGAACCACTTGCAGAATTGAGTGATAATGATTCGTGGGGAAATTCGTGACACTGAAAACGATTTTGCAACTTTGCTCAGCGATGTGCGAATTTGCCTCTGTATTTCAAATTTCAGTGTTTTTGGTTTGATTATATTATTGAATTAAATGTATTATTATTATATTATTATTTTTTATGATTATTTATTAAATTATAATTTATGATTTTGTGTTTCAAGTTTTATCACATCTGGAATGTTTACTAGATTCTTGTTCGTACAGATTTCAGTGAGTTATTCCTAAAAATTACAGCCTACAATAAAAAACTACATATTTCCATGCAAAAAAATGGTACCCCGCTTTCAGCACAAAAAATCGGAAAGAATCATACCGCCAAGGAGGTTAAAGGCATAGTACTGTACAGGGATATGATTAAAAAAAATTAGTAAATACATTGAAAGCAATTATTGCGTTCGTATTGCAAAAAAAATTTGTAAACCGAGCCATTATTTTCAATGGATTTTCATTCATAAACCGAAAATTACGTTAACCGAGGTGTTCGTAAACCGAGGTATGCCTGTATTATTATGCCCAGTGTATTGTTTTACATTGACCTGAAGATCTCTTCTTTCCTGCTGTTGGCACCACTTTGGAAGTGGAGTGCAGTTGGTATCACTCTATTTAATGCTCTAGGATGGTGCAGCAGCAAACCCAGACCGTGATCTACCAGTCACCTGGCTGCGATATACTGGTAGATTGTGATCTACCAGTTGCTGTCCCCCCGACAGGTCATGTACATTCATACATGTACACTTTTGGGATCTGTACCTTTTTAGTGTCAGTTTTGGATTTAATTGCTTTTGTCTCTCTTTCCTCTTTGGCTGCCCCCTTTCATATACTGTCTCTGTTTGTCTATCTATCTATCTATCTATCTATCTATCTATCTATCTATCTATCTATCTTTATATCCAACTATCTTAATATTGTCAGGTAGATCGTATTTTAAAAACATGGTTGATTTAATAAGAGGCTGATTTACTAAAAGCAGATAGACTATGCCCTTTGTAAATGCAGTAACAATCAGCAAGGGCTTTGCTTCAGAGCCTAGTAAATTATGTGAATCTTCACTTTGCAAAGAATACCCAATCTCAATGCAAGGAAAATAATCATGATCAGATGATGGAAGTCAGCAGAATTTCATCTCATTTACTTGCAAGGTTCACCGTCTATTTGCTCAAGTGTTTAATTCCACTAGGGATTCTATCTGCAAGATCTTTGTGTCCTCCCCTCATTCTTTCTTCTTTCATAATCCAAAACCACCCTCCCCAATTTGCCCCTATTGTGTGAATAAGTGTGAATGGGATATTAAAATGGTTGTAAACTCTTACATATAGCCTGTGAAGTGACTGGTCTCAGGTGATACACAGAGATGAAACAAATTCTTCTACTTAAGTTGTACCTGTTTATCTGTGCGATAATTGCATTTTTTTATATTTCCTTAATTAAATCTAGTGGCCTCTCAAATATCTAAGAAGGCCTCTAATATCCTGGTTATTCTGATTACTTTAGGTGACTTCATGCTATAAGAATGTCATTGCAAGCTGACTATTTGGACAAGCCAAGCCAGACCACTAATCTCCTTTCAGGAATGTGCTTTCTTAGAAGGTCATCATGTTGTTTGCAAGGGGGGTGGGATGTCCATTCCTTACACACAAGTCCAGTGTATAACACAGCTGGAAATAATTGTCTCACCTCAGAACTGCCATCGGGCATGTGTCTGATCTTGATCCACGGCGCCATGCCATATAATGGGAGGGACCCATGGCAGAAACAGCATCTTTAGTTAAGTATTATTGCTATAATTTTTAATATTATCTTTATCTGTATCTGCCATTACTTTTAATAAATGTTATACTTATAAGTATTTGTGTGATCCCTCTTTGCACATATTGAATACAATCCCAAAACCATGACGGAACATTATCTGCAGTCTTCTTGTCTCTACATCCATTCAAAGTGCTGAATTGTAAAGCTTGTCTGAAAGTTCAGAAGTGGGTGGAGAGATGAAAAGTCACACTGATTGGAGGATAGAGAAACACCCCCTCCACATAGCTCACAGAACAGAGCTGAGGCTGTCACTCTGCTAGAGGTTCCTCCCTGTCACCTTTTTGTCACCTTCTGATAAGGAAAACTTGTCAGAAGTGATTCATGCTGATAGCAGAAGAAAGAGGCAGCAGACAGAAATTACACTTAGGGTTTTATTTACTAAACCTGGAGAGTACAAAGTCAGGCTCACGTCTGCATAGAAACCAATCAGCTTCTAACCTCAGCTTGTTCAGTTAAGCTTTGGCAATGAAACCTGGAAGCTGATTGGTTTCTATGCAGAAGTGAGCCTGACTTTGTACTCTCCAGGTTTAGTAAATAAACCCCTTAGTGTCCTGGATGGAGACATGTAGGTAGACACTATAGGATATGCTTTGTTCATAATTTCATGTCTGAGATTTACAACCACAGCTGTACAGCATCATTTTCTATGTTGAAATATGCTTACTCTGATTTCACTGTACACTGTTGGTCCCTCCTATCATCAGTTTTCTGCCTACATTGCATAGAGAAGCACAGAGACCATTTAAAGATGTCATTGGGACTAAAATAAGGTATGTAATTACAACAGAAATGTTCTTTTTATAAAAAAAAATTAGCGTGTTGATAAGGAGGGAGAGTGTAACCAAGGAAGGCAAAATAAAAGCAGATTAAACTTCTTTGACTTTGACCTTTGAGCTGATGTGTGGAGCAGGGACTGGTGTAAATAAATCTATGTATATATCTTCTATCCCAGGGGTGTTTGGATGGAGTGCAAGGGACACCCCTAATTCAGTCTCCGACAAGTTTGTGTCATGTATAAGTGTAGAAATTCTGAAGGACGCTCTGCAAACTGCTATATACCCTTTCCAGCAGACTTTGGAATATATAGGGATATTTGGTTCACACAAATTGC